CATCCTTGGCGACATCCCTCCTGCATCTCCAGAGACATTCCTCCTGTCACCCCCAGGACATCCCTCCTGCCACCCCTGGGACATCCCTCCTTGGCAACATCCCTCCTGCCACCCCCGGGACATCCCTCCTTGGGGACATCCCTCCTGCTTCCCCAAGGACATCCCTTCTGCTGCCCCCAGGGATATCCCTCCTTGGGGACATCCCTCCTGTCACCCCCAGGACATCCCTCCTGCCACCCCTGGGACATCCCTCCTTAGGGACATCCATCCTGCCACCCCCGGGACATCCATCCTTGGGGACATCCCTCCTGCATCTCCAGAGACATCCCTCCTGTCACCCCCAGGACATCCCTCCTGCCACCCCTGGGACATCCCTCCTTGGGGACATCCCTCCTGCTTCCCCAAGGACATCCCTTCTGCTGCCCCCAGGGATATCCCTCCTTGGGGACATCCCTCCTGTCACCCCCAGGACATCCCTCCTGCCCCCCCAGGGACATCCCTCCTGCCTCAGGCACCCATGCAGGGACTCCAGGTTCGTGCCACCAGTCTCCACGACATCCAGATGGTGCCAAGCAGGAGCACGGATGCGGCGGGGTGGGATGGGGAGCAGCAGCAGAGGCAGCTGAAGAACGGGGAGCGCCCCGATGGGATGCACCAGCACCCCAGCAAGGAAGGAGGTCCCCAGCCCCCTCCAGCCACTGCTTGGTGGGCGAGCGCGGCTGGTTCCCACCCGCAAAGTACAAACCATGGGGTACATCACTATTTAATTTCCTGGGATGGGACGTACCTCACGTCCAACCCCCCTGGAAACTTGACGTCCGCATCCATATTCCCAAACCAGAAGGATCCGAGAGGAGCCGGGGCAGCAGGAGAAGGCGGTGGGGAACCCCGGGGAACCAGGGGCAGATGGTCTCCATTACCAGAGGGGGAGATGATATCTCAGCCCAGCTGCAAAGAATCAGGCCCTTGTTTTCTCGGCCACCGGGAGTTATATCTCCTCTTTAGCTTTTCCTTTCTTGTTTTGCTGCTTTCGGGGGCTGGCCGGGGGGGCAGGGAGGGAGGTCGAAGGCTTTGGAAGTAATCGCTGCAGCAAAAACAAACGCACACGCACACGGATGAGAAGGAAATGATGCTTTTGGGGTTTATTGGGTATGTTGGAGAGGGAAAGGGGTCAGGGAGCTGCTCCCAGGCGGGGCGGGAGGTCGCTGCAGGCAGGGATGCTCCTGCGCTGCTCTGGAGCTGCAGCCCAGGAGGGCCCGATCCTGGGCGACCTTCTGCTGCACGACGAGGCGGACAACCCGCTTTGGTCCCTGCGCAGCTCCCGATGGCTCCGCCAGCTCCTCGGGGCCAGGACCCGAGCACAGCCCCAACTCCAGCTCCATCTCTTTTGCCAAATCCCCAGGGCTCGCGGGCGTCGAAACGGCCCCGGACTGGGCTGAGCTGGGCTGCGGGGCCATTACAGGCAGCTGGCACGGGTTTGGGAGGAGACTTCTGGGTTTTATTACCTTTTATTAGCCCTCTGAGCAATGTTTGCTAGAGGCTAAGTGGAAGGGCTGTGGCCAGGGCTCACGTGGCTGAGCTCCGGGGCTTTATTAGCGGCCCTCACCCCACTGATTAATGGGAACGTCCCGGCGGGGCCTGGCCCCGTGCCCTGATTGCGCATCGCTTCCCCTCCTCGGAGAAGCGGTCGTTGTCCTCCGGCACGCACGGGCTCTGAGGAACATCCAGCGGAGAGCTGGGGTGAGGGCCGGACTCGCAGGGGGAGGAACGAGGATGTCGGGATGAGCTGGAGATACGGAGCTGGTCCTGGACAGGATGAGCAACCAGCTGATGTTGGATGTAGGGAGCTGGTCCTGGGCTGCCAGTCACCTGCCTGTTCTCCAGGGAACGTGGGCAGCGTTGGGGACAGAGCTGATGAGCTGAGACAGAGCCCACAAGTTCAGGAGAGCTCCTTGCTGGCATCACCGCTGGTCCTACCAGGAGGTCCTGCCCAGTGCCTTCACCCAACGAGTGACAAGATTACACCTTCTGGGGGGCTCTGTGCCCCATTTTGCTCTTGCTTGCCCGTAGCCATGGCAGACAGGAGGTGACAGCACCCAGGAAAGGATCCTCCGCCCTGGGACGCTCCAGGGTGCGAGAGGGACAGCGGTCCCAAAGCCACAGCATTCCCCAGTGCCGGGAGAGCGGGCGGGCAAGAGGAACCCCCCGGAGGTGTCGCAGTGCTGGTGGTCGGTGTCACCGAACACATGGAGCTGGGAAGGTGACGCTGCGTGGCTCGCCACCTCAACCTGAGCCGTGGAGGAGAAGTGGTGGACCCTGCGTTTCCCTGGCCAAGACCCCGTGTTTCCCTGGCTGCATCCCACCCTCCGCTCGCTCAGCTGGAGCAGGGAGGTTGAGCTGGCTCTCTAGCAGAGGACACCAGCATTGGACGCGGCACAAGCTTGGCGTGGCAGGAGCAGCTCCCCCGGGAGGTCCAAGGAGAGGCTGCC